TGTGCAGCAGTGTGCTCACAGCACTGTTTATTGCACAACTTACACACTCTCCAGAGACCGACAGCCGAGACCTGTGTGGTAGGACATGAACTCCTTAAACTCAGGTGTAAACAGCTGTCCTGTAGATAGCAATGGCAGGATTAAAACCCCAAACATCTGAAAGCTCCTTTTTAAAATGGTTTTGAAAGACAGAAAGCAAAAAAAGCTGAGAGTCTCCTGTTGCTCTAGGTGTCAAATACGCCAAATCCTATGGCACAATCGAGGCAGTTGGCTGTTCCTGGTTTTCAAAAAATGGTGCTGCAACACTGGTTTTGAAACCGAGAGGGTGAGCCCACAATTCAAACACTTATTTCAACCTGATGCTCTTGATAAAGATTTGAAGAAATATTCTCCTGACAGCATAGAAAGCCTGTAATTACAGGCTTCATCATTGCTGGCCCTGCCTGGAAAGGCAGCTGCCACAACTCTGTTAGGGTTTCTGATATAACCCAAAAGCCCTTCAAAAAAACTGTAGCTCCCACAAATACTTCATTTTAGACCCCCGAATTATGCTGAAGTTCAAGAACAGAATATTCATTCCACATCTCCTAAGACTTCCAAAAAAAACCCCAACAATTTTAAAAAACAGCCTACAGACAGCAATGCAGTTGACAATTCTTGCTCCTTAAGGACTGTTAAATGAAGATACTTTCTTATAAATAACAAGTTGGTCACCAAAAGGGAAGTCAAGGAGTCAGGGAGCATTATCCTTCCCCCTGAATTTTCTGTGTTCATTCAGTTCTGACATGATTTTCATGTCTGGTACTTCTCACTCTTTAATTTATGATTATAGAAGTAGTCACTTCAAGAAGGTACTGTGATGCTGAAAGAGCAAAGGCTTTTTGTCTTGAGAACCTGTTTACCCTACTCTCTATCAGAGTCCCATGTGTGGAGGCTCCCCTAGATCTGACATCACAAATCAATGCTTATTTCATTAATTTCACTTGGTCTCCTCTTTCAGATATTTCATCCTGACAGTTCACTTCCCTGATACACTCCATAAAAATCCAGGGTAAATGCTCCAAGCTCTTCCAGTTGTACAAGCCCCACAACAAACACAATGGCCTCTCCTCCCCGTAAATGCCTCAAAAGAGAACCCTTAAATGCAGTTTGCTTGGCACTAGCAGGTATCAGGAGGCAGGTAGCAGCTATCTGAGCTGTGCCAAACACAGACATTGATGGAGGTGCTGCTTGTCAGGGCTTATGTGCTAAAAGCCATCCTCCATGCTCCTGGGAGAAAAGGTCGGTGCAAAAAGAGGGACCACCACGATCCGCGCACCCCAGCTCACAGCTACCAGTTCCAAGAAGTCCACGCGTCCCTGGAGTTGCACACACTGCCACTGAAAACACCTGACTGAGAAGATAAGCTCTAGCTTGCATCCGATCTTGAGGTTTAATGGCTTAGGGAGAAAGGGAGGGACTTCATTTCAAGGCTCTGGATCCGTCTGGAGGACACTGGCTAACGCCTCCCTTCCCCTTTCCAGTCTTTCCAGGCATCTCATTGAGCTCGGCATCTGGCCTACGACGCCAGGTGCAAAGCCCACTGGCACGGAGAGAATTTCATCCTTCGGCATGTTGTCAATCAACAAGGGAACAGAAACCCTTTCTGTTCTGCCTACGTTTTATGCAAAGCCATACCCACATCCAGCCAGGTATGCCAGCTCTGCAGCGTCACCCAGCCCAAACTCGGTACTGCAGGAGAAGTCTGTGGGCTCAACTGCTGCCGAGATCCACGGAAGATGTTAGTTTTACTACCCACAAACCTCCTATTTGACAGTGAGGTCGCATATACAGCCCTCGGATAGCAAAACAGGAGTAGAACATCTTTCAAATGCTGCATTTATTCTGCTGTAGTCTGGCGTTGCAGCTGAAACCAAGAGTCACACAACTGTGTAGTTATGAAGATACCAGCCTTCATGAGCTACCATGAAGCACTCCACAAACCACAAGCAAATTCTCACTTCTCCTAACTCTCTGCTTATTCCTCTAGCAAGATGAACCACCCTAAATCAAGGACATTCTTTGACATGCCATTTGCAAACCCTACTAGTCAGAAAAAAGCCGTTGCTTAAGTCACAGCTGCTACCTAGACTCCATTATTCATAAAATACCAGGTTTCCAACAGAGCAGATTTTAAATAGTAAGCCTTTGGTTATTATTGCCTTAAAATAAATCTCCTAAAATGTGTTTTACAAGCATTTTTCTACTCTCCAGTGATACTTGAAAGTGCTTGGGTCTGTGAAAGAATATGTAAACTACAGATCAGATGCAGAAATCCTTAGTTTCAAGCAAAAGCTTGTGTGCTCGTTGGAGACTAAAGAGGGGCCATGAGAAATTTAGGAATCAAAACCTTTCCACACATGAGGGCCACTCCATTTTTCCACTCCCTACCCATCCTCCCTGTAAAGGCACCTATCTGCAGGCTTGCTCTAGTCAGCTTTATCGAGCATGTTGCTAGAAAAACTTTATAGGGACCCAAGAAGCAGATAGGCACGTGAATTCTGCCCCAGAACAACAGAGACATGAAGATGACTGACTATGGACAAAGCCCAGACCCTTGTCCATGGGAAAAACACATGCCTGTCCCAACCTCCTTCAGACAACCAGCATTTAAGGCTCCTAACAACAGGCCCATGACATCTTTGGGCAGCAGGATGACATTTCCACCTTACGACTGGACCCCGTAACGCCAAAGGTAAAGCAGAGGAACATCATGCCTGCCTACGGAGATGTACATAGCCCAGAAGTGGTAGGGAAATGCTTGAAGCAGAAGCCCTCAATAATCCATGACCTTGGGCAAATAATGAGGTAGGCTGGAAGAGGAGGTTGGTCCTCAGCCTTTCCCCACCACGAAGAAGCCTCCCTGATAGGAAATGTATTCATATAGGAGAAAATTTCTAAGAGAAATACAATAGTTGTCCGGAACATTTGAAAAATAGCAACATTACAGCAAAAGAAAATAACTGAATTATTATCATTGCTTCCAAATGCCTTGCTAAAAATACTAATTGAAAGTGGCTGATCGTCCAACTTGCATGACACACTTACATGATTTCCGATGCTAAAATTTCTGTGTAACCATTTTAGGAAGCTTATTTTTAGCTTTACAAATGATATAAAATTATTACCTGGAGAACAAAATCTAATAATAATCAACCCTATGAAGAGGAGAAAACAGTACTTGCCCTGAACCTTAGATATCTTATGGAGCGTGAATCTATACTTACATTCCTCCTAATTGAGTAAAAGAAAATCCATGACAGCCATGAATTTATTTTCATTCCATGATTAAATACATCTCATGCCTTCATTAGCAAAAAATACAGATGGGAATAAAACAGATGCCCTAAACACATCCTGCCAGCGTACTTGCCAATTAAAATTTGCTTGCATTAACTCTACCTGATGCCAAATTGGCTACAAAAACATCAGTCTTTTTATTGAGGCTGTTATCAGTAGTGCACTTTGAATCCTTTGTACTGCTCCATCAAAAAATTCCTCCGTCTGAATCACCACTCACATCTCAGAGCGCTCCCGTTGGCTGCTGGAAGCCTGCTGGGCAGACGCAGCAGTTACCCGAATGATTTTGGTTTTGGCACTCGAGTTCGGAACCCAAGCCTGACCAAATATGCAAAGAGCTATGCACTGGGACTAAACTTCCTTACCACTGCTGACAGACCATTCTTCCAACGGAACCAGTATATCCCATTCTGCAGAAAGATGTAGAATTTCGGATTCCTACCTGGAAGACATCACCAGATGGATCACAGAGGACTCACCACAATGAAATGAATGCCTTATTTCCTATCCTGGGAAGGGACTAGAAGAATTTATTGACTCTTAAAAATCTCCTGAACCCTGGGAACTAGGAGAAGCAACCCTCTGATAAGCAAACATGACCTTGCCTGTGGAAAAAAAAAACTGATTGCTTAATAGGGCTTCCCTGATGTTTGAAAGAGCAGGCTTACCGTCACCTGCAAATGTGTTTGGCAAAACAAAGAAATCCCATTGTCATAGAATCGCAGGATGGTTTGGGTTGAAAGGGACCTTAAAGACCATCCAGTTCCAACCCCCCTGCCATGGACAGGGACACCTCCCACCAGACCAGGTTGCTCCCAGCCCCATCCAGCCTGGCCTTGAGCACTGCCAGGGAGGGGCAGCCACAGCTGCTCTGGGCAACCTGTGCCAGTGTCTCACCACCCTCACAGGGAAGAATTTCTTCATAATATCTACCACCTTTTAGTTTGAAACCGTAACCCCTCATCCTATCCCTGCCCTCCCTGACCAAGAGTCCCTCCCCACCTCTCCTGCAGCCCCCTTTCAGCACTGGAAGGCTGCTAGAAGGTCTCCCTGGAGCCTTCTCTTCTCCATTTTCCTACCTTTCAAGTAGTATTCTGAAAATACATAACAACAGAAGAAATAAAGGCAAGGAAATTAAGCAAAAGGATCACACACACAAGTTAAAAAAAAAATTAAAAAATTTCATAGTTATGCTCTGAATTCTTTTGGATTTATACAGCTAAGATCTGCCCTGAGAAGTTCACCGGAAAACATACGGTCAATTGTGTCTCTGAAGACATTACTATATAGCAAATTAATAATGAAGGAGGGATATGTCACATGCTGGTGAGACTGTAACATCACACCTTTATATATTTATAAGATCACTGAAAATAACTGATGAAGCATGCACACACTCAGGCAGGTGAGATTTTTAAAAACACTCCCTCTGTGGGAAAAGAGCCATTTCAGTGGAGACAGAACTATGCTGAGTCTGAGAACCTCTGAAAATCTGAATTTAAAGCATTCATTGGTCATTTTTTGCAAGTGCTATCGCTTTTATATTCGTCTACCTCCTTAACAGCCACATTCATGTTCCCCTAAGGAGAAAAAAAAAATAAATAAAAATCCAGCATTGCAAAAGCTCGTTCCCTATTACACCACACAACAGAGAAAGGAGATTTTTGCTTTGCAGAATACCTTTACCTCTATTGGTCACTGATTACCAACACAGAAATTAAATACCAGATAATCTTTATGTTCCAAATGCAAATATCAGTCAGTTATATCAGGCTCCATACTTGTAACACCTTATTTCTCTCTCACTTACAAACTCACAGCTTCCCTAAAACAAGTAAGGTTGCAGCAAGGACAAAATTTACGGGCAAGTTATGTAAAGCTGAAATGTTTCTAGGGCAATGTTTTATAGTCCCTGAGAGTTCCATACATAGTATTTTACTGTGTACTCAAAGAGCATTTATTTACACACGTGTCTGAGGTTTTCTGTCAGGTTTAAAGTTCAGACTTTGCTCAACTAATCTAATTTGTCCAAGATGGATGCCCTCACTTTTTTCCTTTGGAAAACCAACGCTGTTACACTGTTTCCAATTCTTCCTCCAAAGCAAAATTTGGGTGTTGGCAGCTCCTCCAGAATTTCAAATCCTGCCAGACAGAAATTAAAATGCTTTTATTAGAAGGAAGTAATTTTATTCTCCTCTTGGATAACCCTTTGCAAACCATTCTTTATTCATCTGGAAGACTTGCAAGTCAGTTACTCTGTAAGTTTATAGGACTGTATTGTTACGCTGCACCGCCACTTTATACAGCTGAAACCCTTCCATGGATAATAAAAATCTTAGCTGGCTGACTCACACAAATTAATGGCAGAAAAGATGATAACTTGCCAGTAATTTTAATGCCCCAGAAAGGACGGTTGGTTTAGATCCCCACCGAGTTTCAAGCCTCAGGCATGAGGTTCAGGAGCTCACTGGCAGGTAAAAAAACCCCCGTGTGGATCAGTGAAGTTGCTGAGGAGGTGACATAAAAGGTCACGGTCACAGATTTGCCAGTTCCCCTAAACACTGGTAACAGCGTTACCCCGATTTCAAAGCAATCAGATGGGTGAACCGGGTCTGGTAATAAAGGATGAAAAGAGAACAAGTATCACCCACGTCTACACTTTCCCAGTGTAACTAGACTGAAATCCTCCTCCTCCAAACGTAACAAAACCTGCCCTGCCTTGGCCCGTTGGCGCTGGCAAACGCAGAAGCTGTAAATCCCGAGGAAAACAGAGGGAAGACAGGCTGAAGCATTTACTAGTGGCTTTACCTTGTCTAATCCTGATCTGAGAAAGTCAATATGCTAACACAGACATCCAAATTTACTCATCCCATCCTTGCACAACCGTAAAGTTGGCAGCTGGATCTGTTCAGCAGCTTACCTTCTCTGAACTCGTTCCACAGCTCCTCCTTGGTCCAGTTGCAAGACGTTATGAGGAAAAAGCCCTCTGGTTTCAACACGCCGCAGAGAGATCTCACGTACCGCTTCCTCTTCCCCACCGCGTTATCAGGGTTCAGGCTTATGGCATCAAAAGTCCCCTTGTCAATACAAATCTCAAATCCTGACAGCTCGGCTGATGGAGCCAGGAAGTCTTCTACCTAAACCAGAAGTCTACAGCTGTGAAAACAATCTTCTCCTCAGGCGCTTCTGAATCTTTAAAGCAAACTAATACTTGAAAATGAAAAGCATCAAACTGGACAATAGGTGTGCTCAGGAAAGGATAACTCACAGGGTTTTCACACTTACAGTGCCATGCCAGCTTCTTTCTGCTCTACATATCATGTGATGATCTATTTGCTGTAAAGCCTGTGTATACACCTGTCCATCTAAACCTCAAACTAACATACTTACAGTTCATTCTTTGGATCCTTATTTGTACTTTGATCCCTGGTTTCCTACGTGCTGCACGTTAGGCACTGCACAAATACAGAGGAATAGACAGTGCCTACCACAAAGAGATGACAACTGACATACCACAGAGACATCACACAGGGACGGAGCTGGGGGATAAACCAGGGTAGCAGAGAGGGAGCTCAGAACAAAAGGCAGTCACGGAATCACAGGATGGCTGAGGTTGGAAGGGACCTCTGGAGGTCACCAGGTCCTCCCCCCTGCTCCAGCAGGGCCTCTCAGACTTCCTGCTGCACCGCTACTGGCAGCGATTCTGTCACTGAAGGATTTCATCTTCTATCTCAGATCTGAAACTCAGAATGTAGCAGCTAAATACAGAACTCGCCCAATGAAAAACCGCTGCTCTGCCCCCTGCTAGAAGCAGGGAAATCTTGTTAGCCCTAACGACTGCTATAAACAGACAAAAAAATAAGACAAAAATGTTCTTGTAAATGCAGATTTATTTGGTTAGAGTTCTCTCACAAACCAACGTCAAAAGACATCATTAATATAGTACGCCAAGTAGACCTGAATATCAATGAGGTCATTTAATCTTGGGTTCAGTTGCTCTCTCTTTCCTCAGTAAACTTTCTCTCAAGACTTACCTTCAATTTAATGTGAGGCATTCCTTCTTTCTCTCTTACTTTTTCTGAAAGTTGTATTGCAGAAGGAGAGTAATCGATCCCGGTGAGATTAGTGTAGCCAGACTTTGCCTAGACAGAAGCAGAGAATCTTAAGCAGTGTGCTAGCCACTTTTTTTATCCGACAAGTGTATTCCCTATCCATAATCCATCTCATCTCTCCTCTTAATGACAGAAAAACCCCCACCCTTTTACTCATTTTTATTCCTGTTAACATTATGAGAGCTAAATAGCAGGGGGCATGAGCTGAAACAATTCCATTCTGCCTAATAGCTCAAAGGAACTGTTGACTGCAAGCTGGTTTATGTCAACAAGTGAAAAGCTGAGCCGAACTATGAAAACTAACACCCTGGAGGGGAACAGGCTCTCTTATCTGCACGAAAAGTAACCTAGAAGCCAGGAATGTTCAGCGATGAGAACACGGGCTGGTGCCAGATGCTTCAAAATAAGAAAACCTCTGCCACTTACATAACATTTGAGATTGAGCAATTATTTGGTTTCTAACTCAAGTTGTAAGAGTCAAAATACGCAAGACATTTTCTTGGTACAGAAATTCACTGCCAAACCTTACATTTTTCTAATTGCTCACGCTAACGTCTATTGAACGCAATTATTTGCGTGCTGCAAGGTCTTTGTTACCAGCAATTTTCAGGCAGGTTGTGCACCACATAAAAGACCACACAGAGACCTCCCATTAACCTAACTTTGGAGTAGATAACAATCACCCAGTTCAGTAAACTCAGGCTGCAAGATCCCAGCACCCAGCAAGTGGGCACCTGGAACCCCCCGGAGCTGGGCACACGCAAGGGGGGCAGTGACACATTTTCACTCCGAGGCGGAAGCTGAAGCGACCAGATCTGGGTATCACGTGTGTCAGTTGGCCTGGCGAGATCCACACCTTGCAGGAGGAGCCATGATCTTACGGCCAGTGCAGGCAGCAACAGCAGAGAGCGCGAGGAAGCTTTGGGTTTGTTCTGAACAACCTCTTAACTAGCGTTAAGCAACCGGTTGTGTATCTACTTGGCCAATACCTTGACAGTGAGGAAAACTACCATGAGAGTATTTTCCTCTTTCCAGCAGCCTTCAGCCCGTGTGAGCTCAGTGCTAGCCAGCTGTTCTTAACCGAGGACCAACTGCAGCTAAACACAAAGACCACGTTGTTTGCATTCGATGAAGAACAGCATATTGCTCAGGCTTCTGCCCACGTTCCTCCCCAGAGCAAACCAAGCTTCCTGAGATGCGTGTGCTGAAGACTTGGGGGCGGAAGAGTAGTTCCCACAACAGCTCCTCTGTTTGGAAAGGAAGAGCTTGAGTCACTTGAGGGAGTTCCCATTCACTCCTATAATCTCCGGGGCAGAGGAGGAAAGTTTAAGGATAAACAACATTAAATGCTGCTAAACCTGCACGGCCTGACCATGTACGGACAGGAAGGGATCCCTCACTCAAGTGCCAAACACGACCGTGCTGCACCCTGCTACTGGACCCCTGTCCTGAGGGTGGTATTTGTAAGCCCTCTGGTGACCCCTGTCCTGAGGGTGGTATTTCTAAGCCCTCTGGTGCTGCTTCTCCAAAAAGCAGAGGAAGCAGCAGAAGCCAGTCCGCAACGTTAGCAGCACTGCCCCGTGTTCGGGCTTCTGGTGCTGCCAGGCAGATGCCCTCGCCTGGGTGGTGAATACCCTTCACTTCTCAGAAGTGTTTCAATGCCCCTTGGCTCCCACGATACTCAGACGAGCTGCGTGCGGCAGCAGCGTTTCCTTAGAAGAGCTGAAATTTTTGGAACGCGGAAGAATTCGGTCATCAGCGCAGATTCTTGAAGTTAACAGGGGGAAGACCATGGTCTACTGCACATATAAAACCAGCCAGGAGGCCCACTTAGGATCCGAGATACAAGCCAGCAGAAAGAAGAGAGGAAGCCACCAGCAGCATTTCTCCTGGAGCTCACAGATGGGCAGATCCCCGCCGTGTGCTGCGTGCTTTGCCTTCCAGCTGGCTGCTGGGGCCGGTTCACGCAGCCTACAGCAGCCTGTCTGGTTTTCACTTTATTACCTGCTTTTCAGACGGCTATTCTGCCTCCTTTTTGTGCGCTATTCCCTGCTGGAACTGCCAGTGTCTCACCTAGACCTAGCTGCATTTAAAAGTCATTTTCTTAATATCTTCCCATTTACTATTCTTCACTGCTAGTGGCATGCCAGGGCCCAGTATTCCCCACAAACTGGGCTCTACGGCACCTCTTCCTGCTCTGAGGACGGTCCGACACGTACCCTCAAGCAGCTGCCTTTCAGAGAGCTGCTGCTAACGTCCTGTATGACCAAAGTCTGACTGCCTTTTTCAGGATTGCCATTTCTATCACGATATCGAGTCCAACTCCAGTGGCAGAACTGTTCTACAGTAGCTGATGGGCTTACCAAAAGAATCCTAACTGGATTTTCAACGCCTAGGAACAAACACACACAAAAGTTTCTTTTACAACAACTAAGCAAGTGAGACCCTGAACTATTTAGCAACAATAAACAATGTAATTTTTGAAGTCACTTTTCAAACAGGAACTGGACTGAAAATTTCCTATTAAAGCAACCACAGATGCTCACTCTAAGGGGGGAGGGTGCGGCAGTTTCATAGTGTTTAAAAGCGAACAGGCTGTCGTCTTCCCATTACAGAATGAAAATCAATTCCAGATTTGTAAGTGGTAACCAGTATAAAACTGAAGTCTTACACAGATTTTTCTGTTGGACGTTTCAACAACGACAGAGCTAGCTAGCCCTGCATTTAACCATCATTATTCTCAGGCTAATTTCTCTTAATGAGATGAGCAATTCCTACTTTTGACTATACAACTTCTCCTCTGCTGCAGCGTGGCAGCCAGTCCCCATAAAGTCTTTGAACACTCCTAAAAATCAAAGTCCATGTTAAAAAAAATTCCATTACAAACCTGACTTTGACTTCCAGCCCTTTCAGTTTCTACAGTAACTAACGGAGCCAATGGAGAATGTAGGACAATAGAAACTGCGACAGCAGGACAGCTCCTGTCTTTACCAACCCTCCCGTAGTATTATGCCAAAGTATTCCATCAAAAATAGGAAAAAAAATACTGGAACATCTTGTATCACTGTATGGTAACAGCATTGCAACACCTCAGAACATACCTGGGTAAGGGGTTTCCACCCTGACAGAAGCAGACACTTCTGGAAAAGAGGTGTTAACAACTTTTTAAGCAATTTACAAAAAAAACCCTTAGGTTTAACCCCTTTTTACATCAATAATGAGTGTTATTATCAGAACTGAGTGCAGAGAAAGGGTCTGGGTTTGCCCATGAGAGTACTTTGTGTATTAGTTAACTTGATCTCCTTATGTGGGGGTGTTTTACACAACAATGGGAAGAAATGCATTTTTAAACGTAGGAAAACAGGAAGGTGCAGTTAAAACAGGGGATACTCAGACTGATTGATTTAGAAGAAATACTATACGTGTTGAAATCCGAAGCATTGACACTCTGGGCAGCACCAAGAAACAAGAAGTCTGAGCCCATCTAGCAAAAAAAAGTTGTTATTTCCACGGGGTAGAACAACATCCACGTACTGCTGGTGCAAGGAGCTGCATGCCCGAGTCCCACAGGCTGCCGGGCAGCCACTTGCCATTACACCTTGTCTTCGGGATAATGTTCTTTAAGGCACGTCAACAGCACTGAGTTAATTTCACTTAAACTCTTAAAGCAAATGAAAATATAAAGCCTGAAGCACAGAAACCAGCGTTCTGTTGACGGGAAAAAAACGCAAGGTACGTTTTGATTTCGGTTGCTCGCCTGTTGTCTCTCACCTAAGCCACAGCTTGCCACGGTTACTGCTGTCACTCGTGAGAACTGTACACAAACTACTCCTTTTGGAGCACTAATTCTGTACCAAAAGCACAAACTTTGCAAGATACCAACCAGTTCAATCAGTAAAACACCATTCCCAGTTCCAATGTCAAGCACAGGGCTGTCCAGGGGAACCTTTTGTTTTCCCAGCCATCTGATAATGCGAACCATGCTTTCTTCTCCAAACCTATGAAAAACCAAGGGCTCAGGTGATTAAGGCAGCACAAGTGTACAAAAGCTACGGCAAGTTTATTGCATCGCTCCCTCCCTCCAGCTTTTGCGCAGCAACTCTTACTGAAGCACTTGGGTAACAGCTGCCATCGCTCACGTTCCACGTTTGCTTTGTTTCCATCAAAATGAATCACATGGCCTCAAAATTCATCAAAACACCAACTCTGGGAGGTGAAGCCCTCCATATATTCAAGAGGGTGGCAGCGCTGACAACTTGGGTAGTTCAACCTGAGCTCAGGGGGCCTCTGTTTACCCCATAGCCAGGGCTAAACTGGGACAGTTGCTCTGTCACCTGATGACCCCTCACCAGCCAGGGAGGGGAATCGGGAAAAGAAGAGCAGCCCCACGGGGTGGAAGTGAAACAGATTTAATGAAACAACAGCAATACCAACAAAGGCGTACGGAGTTCTGCTGAGCCAAACGGGCATGCAGCAGTCAGTCGACAGGAGAGCAGGCCTTGGGAGCGGGGAGAAGCCAGAGGAGGAGCAGGAGGAACCCCACAGGAGCTCCTCTTCCTCAGCCAACCTTCCCCCTTTATAACACCCATGACATTATGGGATGGGCTACCCCTGTAGCTCACTCAGGTCAGCTGCCCTGGCTGACTGGAACTGCTAACGGCCTGGCAGCATGGCTGGGCTGGGATCCTGTCCCAACCAAACCAGGATACAGGGATAAAAAGCACCTTTGTCAGTAACACACACAACTACCAGCTCACGTCCGGTGAGTTGTCCAGGTGCAACTTAGAAATTTGCATCACAAAATTGGGCAAGAGAGGAACCGGTGGCTTCAAGAGTAAAATTCCCCATCGTTTTGCCAACATGCAGAGCTATTCAGTACCCCACTGAATTGCTGGCTGTGGTTTTTGCAACGTCTATTTTTATAAAGAAATCACAGAAACACTCCGGTGGAGTTATTTTATTTACCAGATTTCCCCAGCATCTCCAATGTCTTGAAAAGACTGCAGTTCTCTTTCATACGCAGCATCCCAGCTAGAGTCGGGCAGGGGAGAAAGGAAACGATATCGCAATTAATACCGAAAAAGATTTAAGATTAAAGAGCGAGGGGGAGGAAGGGCGGGAAGGCTCCCTCTGCGTAGCGGTGCCGCTTTATGTCCCCAGCATCACCCCAGGCAGATAAACCGCTTGGGAACGTTGTCCGCCAGGCACCGAGCTGGCGATGCCCGGTTGAGGGTCACCAGACATTTCGGGCACAGCACGGGGCCTCCTGCTCCCCGGGCAGCACCACCGGGGAGGA